TATATATATATATATATATATATATATTAGCAAACTAAATTGCTTTAAATGTGTATGCAGAAATCAATCATGAATACAAATAATAATAAAATAAAAAGGAGACTTTAAGAGATGAAACCAAGATCAGTATTGTCAGAAAGAGAGATTAATACTAAACTAAATACTAAATACTAAAATAGTAAGATTAATACTAAACACTCAGTATACACTAAACACAAAATATAAAAATTGTAAATGTCATTGACTGCAGATTTTTTTTATCGTTTTCTAAAAAATTAGACACAAATTTGTTTCACCATCTATTGTCTGAAGGTAAAGATCAGTTTGCTGATGCTGGAAGAGAAGTAATCTTTTTTTAATAGAACATATGCTTAAATTCTTCTCTCTGATGTATTCTGTGAACTTTCTATTCTGTGAAGGTTTAGGGGATTTCAAAGTCACCAACGCGAGGGAAAGAAAGCCATTTCATATTATGTCCTGTGAATCAAATACAATTTATTCACTTGTTCAATTTTATTAAGTGTACTTATCTAAACTCTCCAAAGCTTCATGTTTTGAATGCTTTCTCCATTCATCTGGGATCTCACCACTCCCCTCAAATGTACTATTGTAGTGTGTTTCCAGATCTTTCTGGAATCTGCACACAAACCACTTCCAGTAGGGCAGCTCAGAGAGATCAGAGGTGATGCTCCACTTCACATAATCTTCTCCTGCACTTCTGTATTCTCTCCAGAGGACTGCATCATCTGAGTTTCTGGGATAAAATGATCGATTGCTTGCTACTGCTGATGTGCAAATACTAATGGACAAGTTTGTTGTATTCCTGTACTTCATCCCAGTTAAACCAGTAACTCGATGGAAAGAAACACTGTGATCTCCAGGATGGTTTTCTATTGTGTTGGTGCAGATGGCTGCACAGAATGGACACTGAACCCAACAGCACTGACAGAAGTGATCAATCAGAAGCTCATCTGGTTTGTCCTTATAGTCCAGATTTACTGGAAAAGTATTTGTGTTAAATCTACTGCTGATGTCAAAAATTATAGCAGGAAGTTCTTGTCTTATTACATCTTCTAGGAGGTTGAAATCATCCACATCATCATGTTTGACTCCACTGAGGTCTTTTTCAGAGAAGATCAGCTCTTCTGAGAGCTGCTGTGTGAAACTCTTCAACCACAAACCAGCATCTCCTCTGTTCTTATGAACATGTTCAGTGGATTCATGTGCTGCTTTCATGATCTTCTGCTGCAGGAGTTTAATGTTCTCCTTCATCTTGGGTAAAACACTGACACTGAACTTATCAGTGATGTACCGACTTACTTCATCTCTGATGAATCTCTTAAAGTGATATCTGGGATTATTGATGTAGTTCATGTATTTGTCAAAATGCCCTTTTTCAGCCAGTGTTTTCAGCATGTGTTTTTCCAGACTTGATCTGTTTCCATTCAGTGATTCACAGTTTGATCTCATTTCATCCGTCAGATCTCTGGCAGTCTTCTTGTAGACGCTCTGCTCAAAGGGCTCTTTAAGTTTCTGACAGATGATCTCACCAAAAATAGCAGCTGATGTTGCTCCATGACAGTATTTCTGGAAAATACTATAGTACTCTTCTCTCTTCTTCTCCAAATACAGAACAGGATCATTGGCTTCCCTGAACAGTCTGTGCTGGTCAGTGATCATCTTGTTTTCTTTCTTACAGATGGAAAGAACCAAATCCATGAAGAATTCATTCTTGAACTTATATTTCACTGGCCCTTCCTGATGTTCTATTAATCTTGCTGTGATGTAACCTGTGGTTTGTTGAATGCAGCTGATGTTGTAGCCCATCTTTGAAATATTGAATGACTGAATCATTATATCTGTCTGCAAAGCAACATCTGTGACTAATGATCTTATTTGACCTTCATTCTCTTGAGACAGAGTATTATATCCTAATGTTTCTTTAACTGTTCTATATACACCTTTTACAGCATCTCTAATCCATCCTTTTGTGGACTTTTTGAAAATAACATAAGCAGAATAACTTGACACAGTGAAAATTGTGTTGTAGTCACTGCTCTCGCTCCAGTGGTCTACAGGAATACTTTCATAGATGTCACTGAGGATCTCTCTCACATCTCTCACTATGTCAATATCTTTGATTGCTGGAGTGTCTCTGATGATCATCTTCATCCACTGTTTCCAAAACAAATCAAACTCTTTCTTCAGTGTTTCTTCATCGTTTGCTTTGTCTTTGAGATTCAAGGCGAGTTCTTTGCTCTTTTCAAAGAGAGTGTTTTCATGGTTTGTCCTCTGATCATCAATCTTTTTCTTAAGGTCTCGCTGCTGAAGAATCTCATTTAATTTCCTCTTTGTTTTTCTCACAATGTTTTCATGAACATCTTTGATTTTTATGTCAAATGATGTTTTCCATTGAATCAGTATATCTTTATCTTTGTCTTTCTCAAAGAATTCTGACATTGAGGTTTTCACTTCTTCACTTGTCTTTTTTAAATCTCTTTGAAGATCAGTTTCCTCAACCTCTTGAATTGCTTTGTTTTCTATTTTGTTGTGTATTTTGTTCTCAATGTTCATCATGGCACTGCGAAGACTCCAGGTCCACTTGCTGTATTCAGTCTCCAGTTTCCGGTATACTGCAATCTCCAGCGAATTTCTGAAGCTGAAGACAAATCTTTCATTCAGTAAAGCTTCCCAGAGATCTTTAATGCGATATTTTAAGTTTATCAGCAACTTTCCACCTGATTCAGAGGCATGAGACATAATAGATTCCTTTAATTGTTGAATATTCTCACAGTAGTCTGGGTTTGGTGGAGCCATGGGCGGACTGCCCTCCCAGAGGTGAGCAATATACTTCACATCATTCTGAACATCAAATGCAATGACATCACTGAAACATTCTTCATCGCAGACTTCTTCTTTTGATGCAAGTTTTGTCATCTCATCCAGTTTCTCCTGCAGTCGTCTCCTTCCCTCCATGTTTTTCTCTCCAGCTGTGATGTCCGAAACGTTCTGATGCACAAACACACAGCTGGGATTCAGTCTGACCTTCTTCATCCTCATGAAGGCCTGAACAACAATCTGAAGAATGTCCTGCATCTCAGCAGGGTTTTCTCCAAAGATATTTATCAAGGTCATGTTTCCAAGACCAACAACAAATGTGGCCAATTCATTGTCATGATGTCTTGTTGATCTTCCAGCCAGTTCTAGAGCACGAAGACCCTCAGTATCAACAACCAGAATATAGTCAAAGTTCATCTGTGTTTTCATCTCATCTGACACCTTGATCAGCTGCATGAAAGCTCCTCTGGTGCACCTGCCAGCACTGACGGCAAACTGCAGTCCAAACATGGCATTCAGCATGGTGGATTTCCCAGAGCTCTGGATCCCTAAAACTGACAGCACAAAGACTCTGGCCTGGTCTCCTAGTCTCTGGGTGAGTTCATCTAGAACAGCAGAGATCCAGACCAGAGGAACATGAGCAGCATCTCCATCCATCAGCTCCAGTGGAAATCCAGAGATCATCATCTCTGCTGCAAGACCCGGAAGAAAAAAGAAGTTATACTGGAGGTCTTTTATGTTCTTCTTGACAGATGAACAAGATTCATAGATCTGACCGATCTCCCTCATGATGTGCTCCAAACCAAAGGTTGCATCTTGAAGTTCCTCAGATATTCTCTCAAGTTCAGTTTGTTCAGCCTTAAGTTGATTAGATTTATTATGATTCTCTTTCATTTTTAAGACTTCTGACCATTTTTCATTATATTTGTGATGTAGAGCAGAAAGGTCAGCTGAGATGTATTCATCCAGGAGAATTCTGAGCCATTTAAGAAAATACATCAGCTTATGTTCGCCACGTGAGTTCATTTGTTTTATAAAGAGTTTCATAAACACACTGATGCCAGACTCATGCTGTTGTTCACGAATTTTCTTCATTTCTGTTTTTTTTCTACATATTTCCTTTTCTATCTCATCTGCTTGAAGTCGATGTAGTTCTTTGTTCATCTGACTCCACTGATGCCACAGTTTCCCCTGACAGGGCAGAAATGATTCTTTGATTTCTCTCTGCAAGTCTGAAAGTGGAAGATGATTCTGAGAGACAATCGTTTATAGCTCTTCTGAGTTCTTCAGATATATCTGACTGATTTCTGTCTTTTAGACCAATTTTGTATTTTCCTTTCCGTGTCTTAATGATGGATGAAACATCTTCGGTGAGAAGACAAATGAGTGGCTTTGAGTCCTTGTAGAGTTCTTGAACTTTTATCATGCTTCTGTCTTTCTTCTGAAGTTGTGGTAGAAGAACAACATTGACTGAGGCCATTTCGGTAAGGATCT